GAATAGTCCCGTACCAGGAACCGAACCTAGGCTGATCGCTAGACCTCAATGAGAAAGCTCCACCAAGACAAAGCTCTATTTATTTAGCTCTGGGTCTTGTGCTATAAATAACTAAAGTAACTCATACAAAATTATGCAACGAATCATTTAGCTGCCAAAAAAATAACATACTGTGAATGATAAGGTTTTGTGAAAAATACAGTGGACTGCGTGCGTGCTTGTTTACCTAACATAATCGGCATTATTCATAAGATAACAAGTATTTGTCTTGCCGCGTTGTCACGGCATTGTCGTCCGCGGCAGCGTTTTGCGAAACGTTGCTTAATAGCAAGCTTTGCATGAAGCCGTTCCGAAGGAGTGACTAGACTTCAAACAAATAGATAAGAAAGTTTACTTATTGACCGTTTAATACTGACACTACATTCTATTTCGCGATAAGTTTTTGCTATGAATTAGGCCTACGATGACTAATGAAGGACATTTCTGAAATTATCTGACATACTTTTGGTAAATGTGTATTTAAGTGATAACAAAGGTGTTTTCTAATTGCTAATTCTCATTCCTAATTGTGCCAACACTCAGGGAATATGCGGTTTATGTGGTAAGGAATCTTTCATGAATAAGTAGGTACTTGGAAATATAACATAATTTAGAATAACATTGAATATTTTTTTGTGCTTATGTAAGTTGTGCTCTTGGAGCTTACGATATCTAATACTGAAACCATGAAATAGAGTTCACATAAATAGAATTGATGCACTTTTTTCGTATTCTTTGGTTTAAGGAAAATAGCTTGTGTTTTAAGTGAATTATGTCATCTTTGGTGAAATCATTGTTTAGCAGTACTTGCACAGTTTTCGGTAACGCACTAACGCCATTCGTTCGACTGTTTGCAGTATTGTTGACATAGATTAACGTCCAGCTTTTATCATAAGTATTATGGTAATTTGATTCATAATTTCTAGAGATCACGTTGACAGAACAAAATTAGTTTATTATTTAAGTGGATTTAATTATAAATATGTATGTCACTTACATAAATGGGTAAAAATAGGTACCTAACTAACAGAATAAAGTATGTACCTTACGTGATCTTGCACTAATAATTATTTTCTCAATCATGATCCTGAATCTTGAAAATTATTTATTTACAGCTATAAATAAAACTGTTATTAACGCAATCGCTTTAGGAAATCAGGCACACGCCACTCGCAATGCAGATTATTTTGACAATTACTGAGTCGAGAGCGAGACCCGTTTTATATCCGAGTAGATAATCATGTTATTAAATAGATAAGAAATGTAATGCTCGGTGAAATAAACAATGGTCAACAAATCTCTGGCGATAAGTTACCAAATTGACGCCTTCGGGGTCTAGCGGTTGGAGTTTAATTTCCAGGGAGGACAAACAGTATTTTACGTTGTGCATTTTTTGCTATCATCATTCACCTCAATTTTTACATTTTCATGGGATAAAAATAAATCCTAAGTAGGTATGCAAGTATACGAATGGTTTTTTTAATAAACTGCTGTCAGGTATACATTTCAATGGTTTTCATCAGGCCTTACTTTTTTTCTATTAGTAAGAGCTTTTAAGAAACTAGCGCGAAGTCAAAATGGTGTCTAAAAGGCATAGTCAAATGTTTTACTACTGAAATTATACATTCAAACTTAAATAAATGTGTAGCTTATTAACCTCTTGACAGATTCACACAGTACTCCAGAGGTCATTGTTAAATATACGCGTCGACGACTACTGTAGCAGATATCTTGTATTCTATTGGTCAATGTACTTTGAGAAGGTCATTCAAACCAACGTTTTTATATTATGTCAATAGCAATTTATGGTAATCACGCAATACGGATTATGTTGCTATGAATGAGCGAGATGTCTATCAAACTTTAATCAGAACTTGTTAGATAAAAACAATGTCAAGCCTTCAATAACTATGGATACCCAAAGTATGAAGAAATAAATCCATGATTTTTGGAATAATTCTGGTTGTTTCTGCTGTATACTTATCGCCTATACTCATACGTTAAGTATTAACTAAGTAAGGGAATGTGTAGAGACAATTTAAGTTTTTAATCGATGCGTTTAGCATTATTACTTGGCTGTTGTTACGTTGCGACAATTACTCAAGTACAAGATATGAATAGTTTTTGTTAAAAGTAGGACTAAGCACTAACCTGATTTAGAATACAAATCGACGTTCATAAATTATTCATTTAATCAACAAAGGTAGGTCTGGTTAACTATCTTTCGACGTCGACAGATTAGATTGTAAGGCCTATAAACAAACAATTATTCACAGTTAAATCGTACCTTTTACAAAAGCTAACATTCCAATGAAAAGGGTTCTAGGTAGGTACATTTTAAAAACACTTTTTCATGGCTCTTGATCTATCTAGTCTACTTAATTAAAGTTCTAATGGAAAATCTCTAGGTAGGTATGGAGAAGGTACCGTATACTTACTTAAATTGTTTCTTTGTGTTCATTCCATGCGATTCTCGTATCAGAATAATATTTAAGTTTAGGTGTATTAAACATATTTTATCACTGTAGTTTATGAAACGTATTCCGCAGGGGTCATGATGGCCAAGTGAGGTTCTTTATATAAAATTTTATTCCTTTGTAATGTCCAAAAAATGTATTATAAATTATAATAAACAAACCATATTTTAATAGCTTCATTAGACTGGGTAAGTATGCATATATTCAGGTGTTTGCTAACAAACATTAGTGACCACCAGTCTGTCACCTTCCATCAGAAATGGAAACAATCACACATACATATTCATACGATTGACAAGTGGTTCTCTTTTGCAAACATAATGCATTGATCGAGACCATTGTTGAGTAATCCTGAAGCACCATTACCTAGTGTTTAAGTATGACTAAATTTTTAACCGACTTCAACAAAAGGAGGAGGTTCTAAATCGGTTGGTACTTATGTTTTTTATATTGCGTTTTGCATGAGTATTACTGACTGTTCCAGATTCCATCATACTTCTATGAATACATACCTACCAACTTAATTGCCTTTGGGTTTTGGTGCCCATGTTGATTCATATAACAGAAATAAATGAATTCCTCTCTAGTAACCCAAAACCCAATAAGTAATTTTAATCATTGTGAAATTCATGAAGAAGCTGTAAATAATTCGCATGCGGAAGTACTTTTAGCTACGAAGTGTTTTTGCATTAGCAATACGTTTCTTAATACGTCTGATTCAATAATGATTTCAATAATAATAAACAAAACACCAAATCCTGCTATGATAAATAAAGACAAAGTCCTTATTTCCGTCCGACGTATTTTTAATAGTTCCAATTACCTCAAAAATATAATTGATGGCACAGGTTAAACCCGAACAATTAAGAAATTCTCGACGCTTTTTCAATTAATAGTGACATCAATCACCAAAGTCGTGACCAAATAAAAATCGTTGTTTTTATTTGAGCTGAGATGTTTAAAATACTGGTATTTTGAATATGTATACAATCATAATTATTATGCATCTAATAATTTCATCTCGCACTGATATAGAAACTCAGAATCCTAAAAATGCCTTGGTTTCCTTCCAAGAAAAGTCGGCTAACACGTGATTTTGTATCAATACAAAACCAAGTTAAGGGAATCTATTAAGTAAGCTAGTTACTTACTAGAGGAGTATTATATTATCTGTGCTAGAGGTAAGTAGGATATTAACATATTTTTTACAGGTTTGTTTTTTGAGGGATAATTTAATTTAGGTTGTTATTCATTCACCATAACCTAAGTCGGAGAAGAAATTACATTGCATGGTAGAAGAAAAGAGCTCTACATGTCGTCCCAAGTAAGTCAAAGTAGGTATGTTAATCGCGGAGATAGCTAGTAAAGTTGCAAAAGAAACGATTTTGGGAAGATAATAGGTATGAGGCGAAGATAGAAATAGAAATGAAGGCGAATGTATGAAATATTTTAGTCTTCAACTTAATTTAAGTTTCTTGAGTACTTACCTAAGTGGATTAGAATTCATGTTACGAAGGTCAAGCAAGATCACAAATCCTACGCAAGTCAGATAGTCATGCTAGTCATTGTTATTATTGATACTATTATTGCTATTATTACCTACAAGTTATAGACGACATCATTAATTTAAATACGAAACCCTAATGGTGATGTTTAACAAAGTATCTGAAAAAATCGTCTTTGCCCTGCCTTGCACATAGGGTTCAGTAAAATTTTAAATAAGCTAGCTGAAGCGGCTTTACATGTGTTTAAATTTCCCAAGTTATTCCTAAGTGTCTAAGGTTTTTCTTTGGAGCGACGCAATTTAAGCGATCCTCCGTTTTTCCAGGGTAGAGTTATTATTTGCACTTAGCGATGAGGCGAAAAGTCTTATTCATCTAGCTAGAGGGTCCCATATAACAGCAAGCAGTTTCCTTTTTAAGTTCGTAGAGTCACATCACATATAAATAATCTGTTATGTGGCAATTGTAGCTTTCTACAAAACATTTGCACTGGCAGATTATTCAGTCAGGCAACAAACAATTTCATAAATAGTCATGAAGTTTATAAATAAAATCTAGAGGTATTATAGAGTAAAGAATATAATGAGTGTTACTATTATAATGTCCATGAATTATTTATTTTTTGCCAACATCCGCAAACTCTTGAGGTCGTGAACAATGGTTGAGTGCATGATTGTATCAGTAAATATATGAGTCGCCTCGAATGATTTACGGCGGTCGTGGGAGATGAGCCAGTCCTTAGAAGGTTTGCTTGTTAGGTGTAACGAGAGTAGGCAATCATCGTTACCACTCTGTTTATATGCTAATATATTCTTAAGACGTGCAAATGGCATTTGATTACTACGAGTACGCATCAATTTATGTGATAAATGACAATAGATTCCAACAATAATTTGTGTTTAAATTCTGAACTTTAAAATAATAATATTATTTAATAAAACAAACATTTTCCACAATACTCTTTTTTATTTTATTTTATATAAAACTACTACTATACCGTTTATTGACTGACTACTTAATCTAATTTAATTTTATCACAAGATACGTCACAAACAGTTTGGTTGATATTAAAAGTCCATAAAATCTCCATTATTTGGAATAAAGTTTATCTTCTACCGTAACCTGAAACAAACAAAAACATTTTTAAAACTTCTGAATTGACGGTCTATCATGACGATTGCTACGAGTACAAAGAGTTAAATGGTTGAGGGAGACACCATTTTACGAGTAAATATGTTAGGCACACCCCCTTAACGTTAACATGACTGAATAATTTATTTTCACGTTCTGTTATTTATTTATTTATTAATAACAGTTCTGTACCATACCATGACTAGATATAATGTGTTATTATTATTTATTTATATAAATAGAGGTATCTACAAATTAATATTTCTCACCTCCTTTTGTTGCTGCTGATGATGAAGCATGAGCGGTGGCGAAGCTGCCTCCGAAACTAGCAGCATTGGATTTAGCTACAGCACCCGCTGCACTGATTCCTCCATACAAATCGTCGTTATATCCACCTTTGTGATGGCCAGTATTAACATTCAAGCTTTTCCCAGAGCCAAAGGATCCGCTTCCATTGCATCCACCGCCACAACCACCAGTTGATCCCTGGCTACCAAGAGCATTGTGACCATAGGAAGATCCGCCAAATGCACCTGCACTAGCCCCAGCGAAAGCAGCTGATTGAGCTCCAGCCCCGATCAAACCTCCATTGCTCACAGTATTATGAATTCCACTTGCTGGAAAATTACCACCACTTAAGCCTGATGCACTGACCGGGATTTTACTACTTGACAGTGTCGCACCACCTGCGGATTTTCCGTCATCGAAAGGTTTTAAAAACCCTGGTGGGCCACCGAATCCTCCAGAATAAGCAACTGCATTAGCTGACGCAACAGCTCCTGCTGCAGCATTAGCACCGTTTAAGTGCAGTGTACCGCTTTGTTTATTTTGAGAACCACAATTTCCTGATGAGCACGGAGCTGAGTTGTATGTTCCTTCTGGTTTGGCAATTGCATTTCCACCTTCAATATGTCCATGTTGGGGCTGACCAGGAGAAGTGTTACAGTTACCAGTTGTACATGGGACTGAGCTAGGCACAGCAGATGTAGTCGGTTTGCTATTAGTGGTTGGTATGCTACTGGGCAGGGTGAAGTCATTTGGTTTCAGCAGTCCAGGAGGAGCTCCAAACCCACCCAGATATGGGTTCTTTTCAGGTTTTTTGGGACCTAGATTTTGACTTCCAGTGTTGTAAGTTCCAACATAGTTGGAACCGGTTGACGAAGATCCCGCGGAAGCGGTGCTGACAGCATTTTGGTTGTAATTAGGTTGTTTCAAGGGACTGTCAGGACATGTAGATCCACTACAATTTGGTGGGGTCAGAGCAACGAAAGGAGGAATAGAACCATCGTCTTTTGGATTATTGTATACAGGAGCAGATGTTGCTTTAGGGGGTTGATTCGAAGTATAAGTTGGAACTGATGGAGCGTCTTGAGGTGAAGATGGTTTGAAACTAGGAACACCTTTATGTGGTATCTGTTGTTGAGTAGTTGGGTAATTACTAGGCTCATTTACAGGGACAATTGATGGTGCTGAAGGGTTATTTGCACCACAGTTTGCTGAAGTACATTTAGGCTCTGATGGTCTATAGGCAGAGTTTTGCTGACTGGGAATCAAAGGTACCGAATAACTGCTAGGGTAGAGTGGTTGACTTTGACCACAGTTACCGTTGGTGCAGATAGGTGTTTGCGCAATTGTTTGAATATTAGGATAATCTCCAGTTCCTGGTGTAATAGGTCTAGATGGATTATATCCAGGGCTTATAACAGCTGGTTGACAGTTTGGCGACGTACACGATGGAGCCTGTTTAGGCGCTGTTAAATACGTAGCAGGTTTATTATAAGTTGGGGCTGAAGCGCTGCTTGGAGCAGACGCATGAGGGTTATAAGCGCCATTATCGCAATCGGGAGTAGTACAACCTACTGAATTTTGATTGGAATAGTTTGGTTTAGAGTAGGTGTTTGTTGAACCCTGGACATACGAGTAAGATGTTGTAGGATTTGATGATGGCAATGTTCCACAGTTTCCAAAAGGACACCCAGAACCACTTTGACTAGTAAATCCCGGATTATTATTGAAACCTTGAGATGGATAGTTACTTGGTTTCGGAGTAGTGCCTCTAGGTGTATTTATAGGGATGTCGTGTTTATTGTTAGAAGCGTAATTTGGAGATGAATTACCGTTTGCTGGCAAAGATCCACATTGCCCTGAGGTACATTTATCGTTAGGTTTATTGGAGTTATAATTTTCACCAAAAGCAGAAGGTACACTTCCGGAGCCCTGCGTCGGTCCACATTGTCCTGATGTGCATTTTTCATTAGGACCGCTGGAGTAACTGTTGCTGCTAAAGGCTGCAGTTACACCTCCGGCTCCTGCTGACGGCCCACATTGTCCTGAAGTGCATTTCTCATTTGGACCGCTGGGGTAACTGTTGCTGCTAAAGGTTGGAGTTACACTGCCGGTTCCTGTTAACAGCCCGCATTGTCCTGAGGTACATTTCTCATTAGGGCCGCTGGGGTTACTGTTGCTGCCAAAGGTTGGAGTTTTATTCGAGCCACTGGGGTAACTGCTGCTGCCAAAAGTTGGAGTTACATTCGGGCCGCTGGGGTAACTGTTGCTGCCAAAGGCTGGAGTTACACTCCCGGTTCCTGTTGACGGACCACATTGTCCTGAGGTGCATTTCTCATTTGAGCCGATGGGATAACTGTTGCCACCAAAGGTGGGTGTTACGGTTCCGGAACTTCCGGATCCTGGTGATGGCCCACATTGTCCCGATGTGCATTTCTCATTAGGGCCGCTGGGGTAACTATTACCGCCAAAGGCTGGAGTTACATTCGGGCCGCTGGGGTAACTATTGCCACCAAAAGCTGGAGTTACACTCCCGGTTCCTGTTGATGGCCCACATTGTCCTGAGGTACATTTCTCATTAGGGCCGCTTGGATAGCTGTTGCTACCAAAGCTGGGTGTGACACTTCCGGATCCTTGTGATGGCCCACATTGTCCCGATGTGCATTTCTGATTAGGGCCGCTGGGGTAACTATTGCCACCAAAAGTTGGAGTTCCATTCGGTCCGCTGGGGTAACTATTGCCACCAAAAGCTGGAGTTACACTCCCGGTTCCTGTTGACGGCCCGCATTGTCCTGAGGTACATTTCTCATTAGGGCCGCTGGGGTAACTGTTGCCGCCAATGGCTGGAGATACATTCGGCCCGCTAGGGTAACTGTTGCCACCAAAGCTGGGTGTTACACTTCCGGAACTTACGGATCCTGGTAAAGGCCCGCATTGTCCCGAGGTGCATTTTTCTTTAGGGCCGCTAGGATAGCTGTTGCCACCAAAGCTGGGTGTTACACTTCCGGTTCCCGGTGATGGTCCACATTGACCTGAGCTGCATTTTTCACTAGGGCCGCTGGAGTAACTACTAACGCCATAAGCGGGAGATACACCTCCAGTGCTTGAAGATGGTCCGCACTGCCCAGATGCGCAGTTGTTCGAGGGATTATAACTTGAAGGTGATGCCTCTTTATGTGGCGTTGTACCACAATCACCCGATGTGCATTTACTATTGTACTCAGTATTCAGATTGTTACTTAAGCTTGAAGAGCTGTCTTGTGCTTCTGCCGATCCTCCAATAATTTGATTATTATATGTTGAAGGTCCACATTGTCCAGATTCACACTTATCAGAATCACTACAATTGGGGCCTTTACAGTCAGCGTCACTTTGTTTGGGGCAATCAGCTCCCGAGCACGATGGAACTACGCCGCCTTTGTTATATGACTGGGATCCTGCAATAGCACCGGCTTGTGCAGCAGCGAGACCGGCCGCCCCATTATGTGTGAACCCATTAAAATTTCCATTCGAAGCACCCGCGTTTGATCCTCCTTTAATTTGATTATTATACGTTGAAGGTCCACATTGTCCAGATTCACACTTATCAGAATCACTACAATTGGGGCCTTTACAGTCAGCGTCACTTTGTTTGGGGCAATCAGCTCCCGAGCACGATGGAACTACGCCGCCTTTGTTATATGACTGGGATCCTGCAATAGCACCTGCTTGTGCAGCAGCGAGACCGGTCGCCCCATTATGTGTGAACCCGTTCAAATTTCCATTCGAAGCACCCGCGTGCGCACCGTCACCATTTTGACAAATGCCTGTCGTGCAACCTCCGATTGCTCCTGGTATTCCTGAACCAGAAAAACTGAAGGAACTTGAACTGGAACTAGCGCTAGATGATGCGAAGCTGGATGATGAGGACTTGGAGTAACTGCCTGAGAAACCGGCGCCGTGGGGCAAGGCGATGGGCAGGGCGGCTGCTCCGGAGAAGGCACCAGCAGCAGCACCGGCCACGGCTGAAATATAATAAATATTTTTCGTTATTTGAATGTATACTAGCACTACAGGTTATTAAAGCACTTAGGTATTTCTTATTTTTATTTTTCAAGCATAATATGTTTTCCTACCTAATGCTAATTTAATTAGGTATTCTGCAATAGCATCGTTTGGATACTTGTAGATCCGCACAATAAAACCTAATATACCTCAAGGATGTCGGCCTGTCATTAAATAGGATCCTAAATAAATTATTACACAAAACGAAGTTAAGTATAATAAAGGTAACTCATCTAATTTTATCAACGACTGAATAACTTAACAAATAGGTGATCTTATTGCTGAAAGCGTTATCTACCATCTATAGGAGATCGCCAATTTTATACTGTTCCAACTTGTTTATGAAATAATTAGGTGTAATTAAATAATAAAGAGAATCCAATTCTTTCTTAATTATAAAACAAAAATTTGAAGAAAGTCACACAGTAGCTTTGACCAATATCACTATTACAGCGAAAATGTTTCTCAAGTCGGGAATTGAATTCGTTATCATTTCTAAATAATCATTTTATTTATTGATACAAAGGGAAAGCCATACCTTGAGCAACCGCGCCGTTCTTCACTCCATATCCATGGGGGGTGCCCAACACAGGTTGTAAGGTCACCAGGACCGACACAATGGCACACACTGTGAGCTCCATAATTGCGAAGCTCCCGAAACGTAATGCTCTTACGACACCGCGCCGAGTCTTTATAAAGCGATACACAAATAACTTGACTATGCAACAAAAAAACAAGCCGCGCCGTTTACCGCGAATCGGAGGCTGTGCTCATGTAGGTGTTTCCCATATCTATTACAATTAACATAAATATGCCTGCACGTTTGTTTGGTGCTATGAAGACGGGATTTACAATATCGTAATTTAATCTATTGAAAAAAAGATCGAATAAGTTAACTTAGACATCAACAGAGTGTAGAATCATCATTACGCATGAGAGCTTTAATTACTACTCGTATAAATAAAAAAAATCTGTAACTTTTAAAAAATCAAGCTCATAATCATCGCTAACGCGTTGATGTCTTTTACCACCGCATACCAGTGTTTTGAATTCAGTGACAGATTCCGTCATGAAAATAGGTCTTGAAGCGATTACTTTTGCGATTTTAGTGGAAAGGTTCTACGATAAGGTCTCTGGATGAACATTCCAAGATGCATCTGAAATTATAAGTTACCCAAGGAAAACCAACTCACATAAACCACATACTGTTCTCATTCATCACTAATACAGGTGTCCCAAAATTTGCACGTCACACTGACACCAGAGGTAAATGAGCTTAAGACACATCTAACAAGTATATTAAGTATATTTTAAAAAATAACTAATATGAGTCATATTTCAAAACTCATCAAACTTTTCTATGGAAATGAATAAATAAAATTGGTCATATCTTAAAACTTATGAAACTTTTCTATAGACATATTAAGCTTGTTAGACTCAGCTGCCTCCAGTGTCTGTGTGACGTGCTAATTTTGGGACACCCTGTATAATTATTATTTATTATTATGTAAACGCCCTAGGTAAACACAATCAAAAAAATAATTAGATTCCAACTAAAAGGTGATCACAAAAATTATGATAAATAACTACGTCATGCTATGAAATATTTCACTAGTGATTAGAATACGCATTCTCCCGGGCGAAGGTTCGGCTGCCAGTGGGGAAACACGTTGACTTCATCGCCAGTCGCCAGTAGATGTCCGTGTACGCATGTAAATGTTATTGTTGTGGCTTTAGAGATGTGCCGTGAATATTATGGTCTTTGATATAAAAATAATAAGATCCACAGTTGGGATCTTATTTGAGGTGTTGAAATAATTTAACCAGTGTCAAAGTAGCTCAGTTGGAAGAGCAGTCGCCCGGCAAGCGATAGGTCGTGGGTTTGATTCCCGCCTTAGGCAGTTCGATTTTTTCAAGTTGTTTATTTAAAATTGAAATAATTTATTTATTGTTCGATTCAATGCATCATCATTTCAGCCACAGAACGTCCACTGCTCCCCCGATAATTTCCATATTGCCCTGTTGGTAGCGGCCTGCATCCAGCGTCTTCTTGCTACCTCTAAGCTCAATGCTTAAGCTCTATAAAAACTTTTGGCGAACTCTCGTAGCCTAAGTAGCTATTTTAATTTTGCAAGGTCCTTTAGCTATTTTTATACGCATCTAACGATAAATTATAGCTTTCAACGAATAAGGAAAATTTGGATGTGTTTATAATTTTTAATTCAGTCTGTTTTTCGAAGGTGAAACTATACAGTACTTTAAAAGCTGAGTCAGCGTCGGATACGGAAAAAATATCTAAAATGATTACCCAATTTAATTTGTTCATAAGAGCATTTAATGTTATCGTTATTGGTTAAAGACGGAACTGGATGATTAAACCGGTGCGAGTATTTGTTTTTATAATTTAAAAACATGTTCGATTGTTCCATATAAGTAAAGGAATTAAATTAAAGCATAGTATCATAATTAAGTGTTATTAGATGGGTATATTTTATATTGATAACCATTTTAATGTGATATGATGGGTGCGACAAGTAGGTATTCCAAGACGAAGTTGTTCGATCATCCACTTTACATCGTGAGACCGCAACCATCAATGTGCAGTCGCGTCCCTGGCACATCAGATTATACCTAAATTTTTGTTGCAAAATGACCCCTATTACAACTATAAGATGTCACAGATTTAACTAGATGTTCTGTCTGTACATAATATTATGTCGAATGTATGCAGTCGTTGAATATCCGGGTGACGCACCTTTAGACTGCTCTCCACGCATTCCTCATACTTACTTGTACAATCATACATAATGTCATGAGGTATTAGAATATTTATAATGCTTATCGTAAACTTTTATGGCTTAATCTAGATCTAGGAGTATAAGGTGATTGCTATGCATGTGCCGTATGTGTAAGACATTGTGACAATACTTACCTATAGCACCGTTTGCTATGACTAACCAGACAAAGCACAACCGACTGAAGTTACTTTAGAGGTCAAGGTTTGACAATTTATCTGCAAGTACATACATAGCAAATGTGAGGACGTTATTTATGAGATAATTTAACGATTCTGTGCAATAAATCTGTTTTATGCCTATGTCAATTTACTAATTTAGCGGCAGAAATCATAACCAGGTAACCTTCTCGTCACTCTAATAAAGGGACTTTATTTATTTCTAATGAAATGAACCATCTGATGGCGTGGTGGAAGGAAATCTTAATAGGTAGGTACTGAGTTTGAATTCTGGCCAAAAAAAATTGCCAAGTGCGTGTCGTGTCACGCGCAATCTAAGTTGTTCAGTAGCAAAACCTCGGATGGACAGACAGACGGACATAACGAAACTACAAGGGTTCCTTGTCAGGACTACGGAACCCTAAAAAAGGAAGAATGAAGTTTTTGATTATTTAGGGCCCAAGTCTAGGCGAATTATTTTCCTGTTTAGGCGTATTTATTTCAACGAATTCGCCTAAAGGTTACTTCGTAGTAATTTATTAGAAAGGCGAGGGCACTGTGCGCTACTCGGATCTTCTCGGAGATCTTTTGTGGTTATAATACACACGATTTTATTGTAATGACGATCTTCTCAATAAAATTATGGTAAATTATCATGTTTCCGAGACAGCTATGTTATAAATATGTGGTCGTGTGATATGTATTTACTTTATCCTGAATCCGGTTTTTATGTTTGAAGTAGTTACTTTTTTGTATCCATTTATAGTACATACTTCTTTTTATTGAGAATTTATAGGCTAGTAGCGTGGAGCTTGGCTTTGTACACAATAAAAATTGAACAGTGAACATCATTTGCCAGCCGGACAAAGTAACATGAGTGAAAATAATAATCGCTTCGCTAGTTTGCTCCAGACTTTTTTGAACTTCGCTTTGTGAAGAAGCTCCCGAAATTGAAATCTTTGTCTAAGGGAGATAAGTAAGAATCCTCGTCGAAAATCAGCTCTTCAAAATTTGCTTGCGTAGGTTTAGGTCACTGATGAACCAAGACGTCATATTGTTGTAGAGAAACAAGGAAGTATGTAGATCCTTTTATGAGACCATGACAGTTGGTGTACCTACCTATTGTCTGTCGCATTTTATTTATAAACGGCATATGAGTGTGTGAGCTGTTGAAAATAGCATTCACTCACCTTGATTCTCAATCTGCACGAATTCTCTAAATCTATTGTCTGGTTCCTCATGCCTTGAGTATAAAATGGCGACAAAACTGGAAGATGATTCCATGGTTTTAGTATAGTATACTAGCCTTTGCCCGCGGCTTCACCCGCGTGAAATTTCGTTTGTCACAGATCGTCATAAATTATAGCCTATATGTTATTCTGGGTTATAAACAAAATAATACTGTAGTTTTATCAAAATCCGTTCAGTAGTTTTTGAGTAAAAGAGTAACAAACATCCAGACATCCAAACTTTCGCATTTATAATATTAGTAGAATTACATTGTTCAATAATTTTATTTATGCATAAATTAAGCACGCCCACTGCTGGAAACTTATGCCTCCCCTCTACTTCCCAAGCAACCCGGTTGCAAGCAAGGTCCTGTGATGCTTCTGTCATTACATATTTAAGATGTAGACGATGCTATTCATCGAAAAGGAATTGTAAAATGTTTGGAATTGATCATTAAAATAGCCGTATTCATTTCATGTCCATATATTTCAAACTAAAAGTTACCTAAACCATTGTGACAGTTTCAACTTAAACCTAACAAAATGTAAATGAGCGATGTTATCTTGTGGATGACAAGTATATACAAGTGCTCTGACAGCTACGCAGTGATAACATTGTCTACGTGCACGTTTGTCCTTTGGCAATGCTGATGCAACGTCGTCTAAATGAACTCGTCGGGCTCCCGCGGGGCGTCCAAGTCCCGGTAGTGTATCACCGGGCGGAACTCGGCGCCACCCCTTTAACAATCAACACCACAGTTTAAAGCAACTCTCGCCAGTAACAAACAAAACACAATCACTCACACTACTTTTCTATTGCTTTCTTTTGGTGACCCTAACATTTTGCTCTCGATAATCTCAGCTTCCCGTCCGAGTCACAAAACTTAAATTAGGACAAAGCCGGGTTAATAAAGGAAAGATATGGTCAATATAATTTTGCTGATAGTTTATTATAAAATTTACATGGTAAGACGAATATAATTTTTAAAATAATCATACAAATATCATGTACTCTTTTTGTCAAGTATGCAATTATCATTAGGATCTTAAGTGTACATTACTTTAAATTACATTCAGTAGTTTAGTGACGTAAATCTTAAAAATAAATTATGCAGATGGGTTAACTGAGTTTGTAATACTTAAATGATAAACGTTGTAAGGATTTATTTCCTTTGTGAGGCTTTTTACTTCCATGTAAAATAAAACCAGAATACAGATTTATGAGCAGTATCAATTTCGGTCCAAAAATAACAGAATCTAGTGAATTAAAATTTTGTACAATCAGTTAAAAAATATATGAATAAAATTTGCATTTATTTATTTGTGCCTAAACAATTCGGTCTATTACAACGTACTATACCATGACCAAGCGAAGGACGTGTCAGGCCAGAAACACTAAATAGTACAGTGGGTCAACAGCTGTTAACAGCAGCATATGGCTATAGAACGTACACTACAGTAGATTAACAGTACATTTAGAACGGAAACTTGAAGAGTATACGGGAC